GTGTGTGTGTGTGTGTGTACGTACATGTACATTAAGTACTGAACAAACAATTCTCTTTATTTCCCTTTTAGAGCAATTTGTTTAAAATAGAGCAGTTATGTCAAAAGCTCACAGACCAGTTGAGAGTGGGAAGTCTGTTCCATTTTCATCAAAAAGGGAAGAGACAGTCAATAGATAGCTCTGAATAATTTCATCCAGAATAGTTGCAGCTGCTTATTTTCCCCCTTGGGAACAACATTGTTTTTTCCTTATTTGGTAGCCTTTAAGGAAGTGGGCAAGCAGAGACTTCATGAAAAACAAAATCTGCATGTCCAGCTGTTTCATAGACTAGATAGCAAAGCTTTACTTGGGAAAAGATTAATTATTCTGAGGCATTAGCTACAGGGAGAGATAAAGAGATCACAGCTGAAATTTTACAGTATAACTTACAATTTAATTTTTTTTAAAAAGAAAATCATAATGTTGCAAATTTATTTATTATTCAATCTTTGGAGAATTTGTTGGTTTGGATAATGCTAATCCCAGCCTGACACTCAACCCAACAAGACATTTGAGACACCCAAGCTCTAAGCGCGACCATGTTTGGAGGAAGCCACAAAATAAGCCTCTTGACTTAAAGATGGCATCTTCTTGCCCTTTACCAGAGGGAGGCCCCTTGTGGAATACGGTGAAGCCGTTACCATGGCAATTCCACTGTGCTGTACAGTAGAAGCCATTTTACGGCAGTACAGTAGAAACCATTTGAAGGCACAACAGGCTGTATCGTAACAAAACACACACACTGAGGGGTGTCTTATCACCACAGGAGGGAGGGAGGGAAGGCCATTTACACACACACAAACACATACACACACAGAGAGCCATTTATACACACAAAGATACACATACACACACACACACATCCTTCCGAAGTGGGTAAAATGAGGACCCAGATTTTTGGGGGCAATATGCCGATGTTGTAACCGCTCAGAGTGTGCTGTACAGCATTGTGAAGCAGTACATAAAATGCTATTACTACTCCTCAACTTACAACCATTTTAAACAACGATCTGAAGTTGTGACAGAACTGCTCAAAGTGCCTTACAACCCATCCTTAAAGTTATAGCCGTCTCACTATCAAGCCACATGATCAACAAAGATTGAGGTGGGACTTCTAATAGTAACCGCCCCTCTTGGAGGGAGATGGACAGTTCAGAAATGGGAAAAATACATGGAAGAAAAACAAATATCTGAAGGGAATACTTAAAAGGGTGTGCTTGTGGGAAAGTTAGCCAGCGATTAATGGAAATGGGAACACTGTTTTCTTATGATTATTATCAGATATAAAGAAAGAGAAACGTGACTCACTTATACTTTGGCAAAGAGCATAAATCTGCATTGAGAGGCAAAGAGCTTGTTATAATTGCAACAAGGAAACCCAAAAAATAATAATTCCATTACCAGAAATCTCTCCTCCTTTTCCAACCATCTTTGGTCTTCCTCCATTTCTTGTTGCTGTCGTATCAATCTCTCTTCCATTAGATGTGCTGGTAGGACCTGTCCCATCCCGCGCATATCCAAACTGCTAGTATCCTACAAAGCAGGGCGGGTGAGCAGAAAAGAGACAAGCTGAAATGTTAACTGTCAATCATTTTTATTTTAATGTGACTGTCATCAATAGAGACTCTGCTTTTCTTTTTCAAGTGAGAATTTGCTGTATCCTGGTTTTCTGGGCTAAAGGAAAAACGACAGAAAGCAATACAGTACTAACAGTGGTGGGTTACGACCAGTACGTGCCGGTACAGGTGTACTGGTGCCTGCTGGGAGCACGGGATACCGTTCCGATACGGTGCTCCGGAGGGCCCACCCGCCTGCTGTCTTTACCTGTATGTGAACTCTTTGGGGCTTACGCGCATGTAGCGTACAACGCCTGCACAATGCTCCGCCAAGCAGCTGGAGCATTGCAGGAGGTAAGGATGCATGCGAGCA